CCCCCCCCCTGACGACAACAAAACGGCGCTGAACTAAATATGGCTCCGGTGATGAAATCATGACGAGAGGACGTGCAAGATTTCATACCGGATGAAAACGCGAGTCGATTTCACGGAGAAAAGAGACATCCCATTTGCCTTTCACGCATTTTGCCCTCACCACAACCAAAGCGATTCAAAGGTTGCAACCACATCGCCGGCGCCCGTCTCCTTCTTCGCACCGGAAATGAGCGAGTATACGCGGGGCGAGGGGGGGCTGGCCCTCGCCCCGCGTATACTCGCTCGCCACGCGCGGCTCCGAGGATGTCCTCAAACGAGCAAAGCGACGTCGGCCGAGGCGCGGCCGCGAGCGCTCGGGTGCCCCTCACCGAAGTGCAGATCTTGTAGCCCACGCCGAAGTCAAAGCGGCACTGCTCGTCCATGGAGTAGTTGATCCCGGGCAGCTCGGGAAGCTGCGGCCAGTCCTGCTTGAAGGGGTCGTCCAGCAGGCAGTCGTACGTGCTGGTGGAGCGAGGGGAGGAGGGGGGGACAAATGTTCAGTCGCATACACGTTATTTTCATGAATGACAACATCCGGCTGACCGTACGTGCGGGGTGGATCAAAAAAGGTCAAATGTTGACCTGGGCGACTCAAGTGGAGGATTTTTTTTTTTTCAAAGCACAACAGAACGAGTGACTTCCAGCCTTGCCAAAGACGAAAATCCACCACCGGGGGCAAGGCCAGGCAACTTTATTTCCTGCAGCCTTCGTGCGCGAGGCGACGCAATGTGCTTAGCGCAAGCACGCTTTTCAGGCCCCCCCTTTCCTCTGGAAATTGGCTCCAATTCACAGTTGGCCAAACAATATCAGACCAGGGGGGGCAAAAGAAGACGATCGGCGGCAGGGCCGTTGCGAGGGAGGGAAAGCGAGAAGCGGCCCCGACTTACTGGATGTAGCGCTTGAGTTCTTGCCCGCTGCACATGGACCAGTGGTAGCGGTGGAAGGCCGCCTGCACCAGAGGAGCCATGACGCTGCCCATCGCGGTCTCGTCGCCGCAGCGGTTGCCTTGGCCGTCGTGCTCCATGCCCAACCTGCGCACACGCGAAATTGGCTCGGCGCCATCCATCGTCCCGGCTCGATTCAAAAAAAAAAAAAAAAAAAAAGAATCCGGATGAAAAAAAAATGCGCCGGGAAAGACACGGACCAGCACGCACGGATTGTGATCGGATCTGGCCACACACTCTTTTTTTCTTTTCTCGCGGTACCAAAAAGCACTCTTTGCATCGTCTATTCCTTGATTTGTTTTCTCAATTCAACGCGAGAGCGAGAGCGAGAGGCGCAGGACTTACACGTGGCCCGTCTCGTGAGCCACCACAAAGGCGGAGGAGAAGCCGTCTTCGTGGTTGAGGGTGCAGCTCCGGACCGGGTGGCACATTCCCGTCACGGGGGCGTAACCTCGAGGGCAAAGAGGGCAAAGAGGTCACAAGGTCACAAGGACTCAAGTCAAATCCGAGGAAGCGTGCGGCATTGGTGAGTTGGAAGGAACGGAGAGGATCGCGGCTACAACGCCGGCCTTTCCCGAGGCCGTCGGATGACGGGCGAGACCGGCAAAAAGGCTCAAAGTGGCTGCGGGGGCTCCATTTTTCGGGACGTTCGCTTCGTCGGTCTGGTGTGCGCGGGTGTCAAATTCCGAAGCGGCGGAATGAACTCTGGAGCGCCAAAAGCGGTTTGAGCCAGCGACGTGGACTCTGCCGGGGACGCCTTTCATGAGTAGAGCCGCGTGAAAGAAAAAAGGGCAGCGGGATTTGGGGGCTGACTCGACGGGTCGCTAAAGAGGGCCCAAACCAGTCGAAAGAGGATGCGCAGCGTTGACGCTGCGGCGCTCGGCAAGGCGCTCTTGCCTCCCGGCTGCGGCCGTCCTCTCCTTCTTTCTCGGCTGCATATTTTGCCATCCGTCCGTCTCGGAAAAAGTCTTGCGCAACAAACCAGACCAAGGGAGGGGTCAAGACGCCGTGTGACCGAGCGCACGCGCGACGACGCCTTGGGCGAGACGCTTCGGAAAACGTTTTCAAAGCAAACGTCATTGCGCAGGACAAGCAGTTGGCGCGCGTTTGACAAAGCGATGAGACGCGCGGCGTCTCGGTTTCCGCCTGCCCGTCATTGCGCCCTCGCCGTCTTCCCGCCGGATCGCTTCGTTTGTCGGAACGATCCCATTTGAAATCATGTCACGCCGCGCGGCGCCGCGCTCGAGCGGGTGCCGAGCGCAACGGCGAGACGTGCGGCCCCGGCCCCCTCCTGCCGGCGACGCGGGAACGATTGGGCCTTAGAGTAGCCCAGTCGACGCCAAGACATGAACCTCATCACGCCTCCGCGTCGGCCGATGAAAACCCGGGCCGCTCGCCGGGAGGATGACGGTCACGTCCGATCGATTTTTCACAGGCCGCGGCAAAAGAGGGAGCGGGGAGAAGGCGACGCGCGACTCATTTGGCACGGCCGTCCTTCTGAAATTGCCGCCAAGGGCTTGAGGGGGCGTCGAAGGAAGCCGTCGCTTTCTCCTGCCGCGTCGCCGCCGAGATGGCGGCCCGGCAAGTGAGAGGCCCGACTTGAGAGGCCGCGGGCAGACTCCCTTTGCGGTTGGCGACACGGCCGGACGGAACGACGGGGCCTCTTTTTTTTGCGCGGCAAAATGGCGGGCTTCCTCCGCCTTTTTGGACGCGGGTCTTTTGTCTGCGCGCGTCACTAAGTCAACCAATACGCGGGATCGGCTTTGAGCCAAAATGGCGGCCGGCCTCGGGTCCTTGAGACTTTTCGGCGCCTCCCGTCACGAGAGTCCGTGACATGCGGCCGGCTCAAAGCGGGGTCGGGCGGTGGCGGCGGGTCTCCGGGCGGGCGGTCGCCGCACAGCAAACAGAGAAATAAACAAATGGATGAAAGGTGAGCAGAGGGGGCAGGCAGGGTTTGGATCCTTTGTGATGCTCACGTGCGTTGCCGGATGTGCGATGTGTGGGCCGCGCCTATTCCCCCCCTCCCCCCGACTCTGGCGAAATGTCTGAGGCGGGCAGTTGCTCCTCTTCGACGCAATAGAACGGACGTGGCGCCGTTCTGCGTGTCCGTTTTCCTGTGGCGTAACGCGTCACTAAGTCAACGATACGCGGGATCGGCTTTGAGCCAAAATGGCCGCCGGCCTCGGGTCCTTCAGACTTTTCGGCGCCTCCCGTCACGAGAGACCGTGACATGCGGCCGGCTCAAAGCGGGGTCGAGCGGTGGCGGCGGGTGGGCGGTCGCCGCACGGCAAACGGAGAAATAAACAAATGGATGAAAGGTGAGCAGAGGGGGCAGGCAGGGTTTGGATCCTTTGTGATGCTCACGTGCGTTGCCGGATGTGCGATGTGTGGGCCGCGCCTATTCCCCCCCTCCCCCCGACTCTGGCGAAATGTCTGAGGCGGGCAGTTGCTCCTCTTCGACGCAATAGAACGGACGTGGCGCCGTTCTGCGTGTCCGTTTTCCTGTGGCGTACACGTCGTCATCCGCGTTGGTTTTCGTCATACCAACAAAAGCAACGAGAAAACTACGGACGGAGACCAAGTCAGTCTGTTCGTGGCGACCTGCCTGCCGGAGGTTTCGAGTGACCCGAAAGGGACCCGAAAGTGACCCGAAATTCAAAGCGACAACAACAACAAGAGCAACGCGCACGGGACAAAAGACGAGATGACTTTCCGCACGGGAGCCTTGAGAGGGCTTCCCTCGCGATCGGCGCGACAAGGTCTGTTGGGCGTGACCAACAAAACCAACGAGAAAACTACAGATGGAGACCAAGTCCATCTGTTCGTGGTGACCTGCCTGCCGGAGGTTTCGAGTGACCCGAAATTCAAAGCGACAACAACAACAAGAGCAACGCGCACGGGACAAAAGACGAGATGACTTTCCGCACGGGAGCCTTGAGAGGGCTTCCCTCGCGATCGGCGCGACAAGGTCTGTTGGGCGTGACGCGGCTTTCTCGTGGCAGAACGAGAGAGGGGCGTGAGATGACTTTCCGCACGGGAGCCTTGAGGGCTTCCCTCGTGATTCGCGCGACAAGGTCCGGTGGTCGCGACGCGGCTTTCTCGTGGCAGAACGAGAGAGGGGCGCACCTTGCATCCCCGTGGGGCCGAAGCCTTGGCGAGTGAGGAAGATGGCGTGGTCGTGGTGCTCGGCGTGGTCGGCGTCGCCCTTCTGCTGGCCGAAGGCCCAGCGGCATACGTTTTCCAAGCTGCGGGACGGGTTGCCTCTTTCGATGAGGCTGATGGACTGACGGGAAAGACGGCGACGCGTTGACGCGAGCGGCTTCCGACCCCGGCCGGCCCAAAAGCCCCGCGGCGACCGTTCAGACGGCAAAGCGGGACGTGACTCGAAAAGGGGAACCGCGTCGGAACTCCGCCGACAGCGGCGCCAGCTGGCCGGCCGAGGCGAGGCAAGGCGTGGACACGGATTGGCTTTCCAAGAGGATCTCGCGGTGTACCGAGACACCCTCCGCCCGCCGCAAGGAGGAAGCGAGCGAGCAACTTGGTCGGGTGCCCAATGCCCCTTTGGGCACGGGATGAGCCCAATCTTTGCTCGCTCGCTCGCTCCATTCGTTAGCGACTCAACTCACGTTTGGTTGGAAAGAACCTGAATCGACGAGACGGTTGCTGAATTTGTTAGCAACAAGTACGGTCCGAAACAAGTTGAATCTCCCTTTCATCGGAGCGAGCGAGCGAGCGAGTCAGTTAGCGGCAGCAGCTCACCTTGGCGTAGCCCAGCATGATCATCCTGACGAGGACCACGTTGATGTGGACCCCCAGGGACTCGTCATGGTAAATCTCGTTGACCTGAGTGGGAGAAAAGCATCAAGAAGCGCCATCGAGGTTCAATGACACGTCGCGTTCAACCTTGATTTATTGATTGGACTCCAGGCCAAAGACAACACGTTTCACGTTCACCCGGATCAACTTGTCACGGGGAAGTGACAATTTGACGGCGGTAACGCCTTCCCAACAGGCCGGGCCGGCCGGGCTACTGCGTGACATGACCTCGGCAGATGCGGAGGTGAGCCCCGTACCATCGGAGATGCCGGCGTCCAGAACGGCCCGCATGGTTCTTTCCCTCTTTGGCCCGGAGGCCGCCGCGGCCGCCATTTCCCCAAACCGTCGGACGCATGGACTTGTCAGACCACGTTTCCACTTTGTACGCGTGTGGAAATGTCTGTCTTCCGGCCCGGAAATATGGAAAGTGCTCATTAGCCGGCGGGGAGCATTCTGGCTGAAAAGACGGCCTCCCGCCGCTCCGAGGCTTCGGATTTCTCCCACGCACACGTTGAGAAAAATGCGCCGCGCCCGGGTGATTTCACCCGGCGGGCGATAAAGTCTTTGGGAACACAACCATCGGCAAAAACGTCGATCGGGTTGACGTTTGCACAAAATTCCAGCAAACGAGTGTGCTGTCAAACAAACGCCGCCATGTCCATTTGGATCCCATTCGATGCTTCGGCCGAGTTACGATTGGCCATCAACACGCACACGGAAGAAACGCCCGCCCAACACAACCTCCCTTCAACCGCAACGCAGAAGGCCAGTTTTGTGTGTGCGCGTGTGTGTAGGCTCAAATCCCCCCCCCCCCCCCCACACACAGCAACTAATTGAATGAGAAATTCAAATGCAGGTGTGATCGAGGGGCTCGATGCTGCCCGGCGGCGGCCAAAGGCTCAGTGGGCTTTTTGCTCTCCCTGCGCCTTGCTTTTTTTCTCCACGGGGTCCGCATCGCGTCATCGCCTCCCAGTCTGCGCGCTGGCTCTCGCCGCTTTTTTTTTTTTTTCTCCCCTTAACACGGTCACACGCCAGCTCGACACCGACTGATTGTGTCTCAAATCGTCTTTCCCCATCGAAATGGACGGAAATGCCACGAATGCATGCCGGCTTCTCAAAAAGACAAATGAGAAGAATGACAGCATTCTTGCGTTTGGATGTCCAAACAATATCGCCACATAGCTGCCGATTGCTCGCATGCGTGCCTCTGCCTTTCTCAATGTACGTTGGCGTCCAGGTAGCGGAGGCGCCGGTGTCCGCTTGAGGAGCACGAAACAGGTCCAAGGCTCTTTTTTGTCCAATGGCAAGAGATCAGAAACCTATCGTCATCGCCACCGATTTAAGGACGCTCCTCTCAAGTCTTGACAAATGTACCCAAAGCCATTCAGCGAGTGTGTGTGTGTGTGTGTGTGTGTGTGTGTGTGTGTGTGTGTGTGTGTGTGTGTGCACTCATTATCTCGGGAGCCTGAAAAAAGCGGGTGCGGGTGAGGGGCTCGGCGAAGGCTCCCGTCATCATCGGCAGACTTGTTGCTGGGGAACAAGCGTCCAAATTGTGGCGCCAAAGCATTCCGCCGTCACCGTGGCAACCCTCATTTAGGGAAGAACACGTTGACGTTCGTCGTTGGCCTCCAGCCGAGCTCTGCCCTGACCGCTTGACGCATGAAATGCAATCGCAGGCTTTGCGAAACACAAAAAGCGCACCGACATGAAATGAGTCCGAGCGAGCGAGCGAAAGTCCACGGAACTCCTTCGAGGAGTGCCTGGAAAGTTGAAGAAAAGCGACCTTCGGCACCGCTTTCACCGATGCAAATGAAATTAGGCGGACGGGTCGTCAGAACGTGGTGGCGCGCTTTGAGAAAAAACTTTCAAAGACCCCGTGCCAGAAATGACAGAGAAACGTGCTCGTTTTTGCTTTGGATGGACAATGCGGACGTCGTCGGCGGATTCCAACGGCAGTCCGTTTAGGGCGGGATGGCTAGAAAAGGTGGAAATCCGTCGAGTCGGCGCCCTTTGTCGGGCAAAAGGCCCGAGCCTTCCCAGCCCGCGCGTTAGGACGTAACGGCAGCCCATCGAGGCGAGCAGACATGACGGCGGCGGCGGCGGCTCAGCGTGGCCCGCTTCCCGCTGAGCGCCGCAAGGAAAAAAACACGTGCTTTAGCAGCGTGCCTTCGCACACCAAACAACCCCCCGCCGGGGCTATCTTTCCATAGAGCGCGGCTCGGCGCGTTCGGGTCCGCCGGGACGCCGTCACGCATTGGAGTTGGGCCGCATCGGATGCGCTTCTTGAGGGAACGGCGCAATGCGCACTTACGATATTCATGAGCGTGAGGAGGTAATTCTGCACGTGTTCCTTCCCGTGGAATCGAACCACCGAGTCGTCCGCTCCCAGCAGGATTTCGATGTTGTAGTCATTGTCGCCGGCGTCGCGGCGGCGGCGCCGCTGCCGGACCGTGTCGTTGAGCCGCCTGGCAAGCGTATCGAGAGTCCCGGGAACATCTGGCAACTCCGCTTCTGACAAGAGGAAAAAACAAAAGAAAAACAATTCACGGCCATCTTGGGGCCCGGCGAGAATCTGGCGCCCCCCCTCGGTCCTACCAATGGCCTTGAAGAGGCGCGACCACGCATGTCACCCTTGGAACGAGAGTCGGCGGACGAACGTCTGCCCGCCCAAAAGCGGACGCGAATCGGAGCGCACGCATGAGCCAAACAACTTGATCCGAGCGTCATCTAAAAACCGGCCTCCCTTCTCCTCTCGGCGGGTCGGGCGAGATCCGAGTCGGCTCGCGGGAACCTTCCCGAGGCGGGTCGGCTCGGTCCGCCTTCCGCCGCACGCGCGCGCCGTCCCGGACGGCCCCGCTAACCACGAGCTTGTGTTCTCGCGGGTGGCGAACACGTGTGAGTCGGTGCTGCACGCAAAGCGCACTTTGATGCCTAGCAGTGGGGCCTTATTATTTCGCTTCATGCCGCGCTTGCCCCGGGCGGGCCCTTTTCTCAGTTTATGCGCGTTGAGTCCCGTCGATCGCCGCCGGACGCCCCTCAGATCGTTCGCCCACCCAACGACGAACGCTCCGTCCGTTCCCTGTCAAGTCGCGGCCGCTTCGCTTGTCATCTTGGCGCCGGCATCAAAGGCAAAGACGAACGAGGCGACGCCCGTCGCACAGGTCAACACATCCGACCGGGTACCGTCGGGGACAACGCTCGTCGACTCGTGATGAGATCCGAGCAGGGGCCGTTTTTCTTTCGGGAGAGCTTCCCTCCCCCCCAGAGATGCTCCCCTCGGCAGACAGTGCCTCCGATTGAGGCGCGGAGGCGAGCTAAAATCAACAGCCGCGTCGGCGGCGGGCACGCAGCTCCGACAGGCCGAGGATTGTGGGCCGCATTCCTGCCCTGTGCCGCTCGCGCCGTGACACTGGCATTCTTGTGCGCACTCCCCCCCCAGTAGCGCCGCTTGAAGACCGCCAGTGTGCTCGGTCCCCGGAGACCCCCGCCGTGCGGCGGATGGGGAGGGGAGGGGGGAGGGGCCGCTCGGGGCTCGCACGTGGCACCGCCGGGCGAGGTGGCGACAAGGCCAGCCAGCGCCGCCGCCGGCTCAAAAATGCCGGCAAAGTTGGCGACGGGCCGGCGCGTAAATCTACTGGGTGCTGTCGCCGTCAAACGCTCGTTTATTTATTCACGGTCACGAAATGCATCCAAAACAAAGAAAGAAAAAATGCTCGCTGCCATTGTTAATACTTAAGAGCAGCGGGAAGTAAGTCGACGTCAAGTCAAGCACGCCGGCGAGCTCCTCCGAGGTGCCACAAAAGAGATGACAACTCCGATGACGACTTGGATGCGACGTCGACGCAAGACGCTTCCACACGTCACGGTCCGATTCTGGAGATTTCATTTGCAACGCTATAGTGGCCGGCGAGGGGCAAAATGGACTCCAAGTGCGACCTGATTGGAATGCGATGGGACGCTGTCCCGGTTCCGTTGTGTTGGTGACCATCAGAGGGAGGGCTCGTCGCGTCCTTTGCTCTTTTCTTTGAGGGCAACCGCCGCCGTCCGACCGCTCGCCGTCCGTTGGGTTTCCTGCCGTTTTGTCGTTCCTTCAAGCTCGGGTCTTTTGGGGGACTTTCTTCTTGCGCTTTGGGTTGAGTTGCATGCCGCCGTACGGCCGCCCGGGGCCGCTCCAGCGATCCCGCGCGCACACAATAGCCAAGGTGGGGCGGCGGTCCGAGCGGCACGCGCATTCGCCATCAGCCCTTGTTGTTTGTTTGCGGCGAGACAAAGGCTTGATGGAGCGGCCACAATAACGCTGATTTCATCCCAGGATAATTGCAGCAGATTTTTCATCAACCCGAGCGTGTCGTGTCGCTCCCCCCGCTCAACCAACGGCGCCGACCACCACAATAAGGCTCTAATTAGGCTCCGCGCTTGCCCGATGAGAGAAAAAAAAATGCTTGAGTGGGCATTTTGTGCGCTGGCGGCAGTGGCTCCACACCAGCTTTTGCAGGGGGGGGGGCAATTTCATGTGCTCTGGCCCTAAACCGACTAAACAAGCCCCCAAATTGAAGCCAACTCTCAGCCCCCCCACAGAGCCACGCGCGCCTAATGAGTGCAGCATATGAGCCCATCTTAGCAGATTTTCGGGGTGGGTGTGGGGCGGGGGGGGTCACTTGTAAACACTTCTCGATGCATGAGCAGGGAATAAAAACATGGCGCAATCCGAAGCGACGAGTTGTTGATTTTGAGATCGGCACTGGACTGAAGCGCTTGCCGAAGGAAGAAGCCCGCTGACGAACGCGGCGCTTCGACCGAGCACAAAAGAAAAGCTGGTTTTCTTTGGGCTCGGCGCCTCTCGCGTTGCGACGTCATTTGATTCGGCGGGATGCCGGACACTCTGAATACGTGAGCGACGGCACCGTGCCATCTGCGTTCTCACGCCGTTGATGTCCCATTTGATCTGATCCAATCAATCGTCTGAAAATTGCCTACCGCATATCTATCGGGGTGCTCACGTGGCAATTTTGACTGCGGTGCAGCACCGGCTGGGGCTGCCCCCCGTAGAGCGTTCACACGTACAAAGTTACACCGTCGTAGCCCCTGAAAACGGCTTCAACCGGAGCAAATTGAACCCTGCTCAGGGGGTGCTTTCAAAATGGACTCCGGAGTAAATTCTCATTTGCGAGGCAGCGGCGATCTAAAATTGTCATGATTCGGTTTGGGACCAACAGGTGGCACTGTGGGGCTCCCCTGCAGCTGCACACTTGTTGGTAATTAGGGGCTTTAAAAGGACTCCCAGCCCGAGCAATCATTGTCGGGTCATCGTTGCTTTTTGCTCCCGTCATGTTTGTTTGTTGCCGTTTCTCTGCTGCCGTCAGGTTTGTTTTGGTCATAGTTCCGTTTTGGCTTCAGTTATGATTTTTGTTTGCTACTTTGGACCATGTTTGTTTTGGATTTAGTTTTCTCTGTTCCAATACACTTCTTCAAATACACCCTTGCTCCTCCCTCCTGCCTGCTTTTTGGGTCCAACACCACCATGCAACGTGACAAAAATGGGACGTGTGAACACTACGGGGGTAGACTCGCCTAGCGTCACAAGAGTTGATTACATCCGGGTATCGAATGCGTTGCTTTCGTGCTCTGTTGGACTTGCGTCATCTTTTCTTTTCTTTCTCTCTCTCTCCGGTGTCTGATAGACCGCAATGTTGATTTGTCCGGTGAAGTAGAATCCATGCTTTTTCGGGATGTCACAAACAAGGCGGGGAAAAGGAAGGACACTTGACGCATGCGCGTGTTTTATTTCCGTATTAATGCTATCGTATCGCACGGCCGCAGAAAGTGCCGTGTGAACGCAAGTGGGGCTGCGCCGGGGTGAACGCGCTTCTCTTTCGTAGGCGGCTTTATACGTGTCAACGCTCCACAAAATTGACACCGCGTAAGCTTTATCGCAACCAAATACATCGGCGCGGCACCCATACAAATGGGTGCCGTGTGAACAGCCCTTCTACATCTAAAGGGCGGCCCCGGCGGTCCAGCGGTTAGCGCGTGGGCCTCGCAGTGCGGAGGTGCAGAGTTCGATCTCGGTTCCGGCCTCCCTGTGTGGAGTTTGCATGTTCCTCCCCGGGCCTGCGTGGCTTTTCTCCGGGTACTCACATTCCAAAAACATGCACGGCGGGCTGATTGAACACTTGCTAAATTGTCCCTCGGTGTGAGTGTGAGCGTGGATGCTTGTTTGTCTGTGTGTGCCCTGCGATGGGCTGGCAACCGGTTCAGGGTGTCCCCCCGCCTACTGGCCGACAACAGGTGGGAGAGGCTCCAGCGCCCCCTGCGACCCTTGTCAAGAGAAAGCGGATCAGAAAATGGATGGAGATATATAGAAAAAGAGAGAGAGAGAGAGAGAGTGTGCGAGAGATACTCCCCCCCCTCCCCCCCGTGTGTATATATGTAGGTCAGCTGCATTCCTGACTTGTTTGCTCTTATCATTTTTTTTCTCTTTTCCAGCCATGTGCATGTGCAGCCTTCTCTGGCCATGTGACCCACAAACGAAGTTGAAGCAGAAGAGAGGGAAAACGTGCAAACACACACACACACACACACACACACACACACACACACACACACACACACACACACACACGCACACACACACACACACACACACACACACACACACACACACACACGCACACACAACTGCAGGTGAGGAGAGGGAAAAGAAATGCTGTGCCTGAAACACGAAAGCACAACTGCTTGTACGCAATGTCGAAGTGGATGCTGAGCGCACTTTCTTTCTCGCTGTCAATTTCTGCAAATTCAACAGCTTGCCGCTCCGGCAAAGATATTCGTGTCTCCTCTTCCGTTTCAACGATAAGCAAGTCACCCGGGGTGTTTTGGGCCCGCTAGCGAGCAGCCGAGCGGGACAACGGGGGGCTTTGTCGCCTCGGCTGGGCTGCGCAACACGCGGCCAAACTTAGGCCTCATTCATGGACGGGGCGTGAACTGCACGTTTTGGAGGGGGCTGAAGAAAACGCGAGCTGTGTTTCCTTTTCGGGGAGTTCAATCCACTTGAGTGACCCGCACATCCGTTTCTCTCCAACAAACGGCCCAATGTCGTGGGCAGAAAGGAAAAAAAAAAAAAAAAAAAGGTCGAGTGGCAAACGGTTTCCCACACCGGGGCCCTCCGCAACATCACGGATCAAATTCTCAAATGTCATGACCCGGAAAGCAAAAAAGAAGAAAAAAAAAGAGAGAAAAGGAAGAAACGAGGCTGCGAGGACGCCGGGAGAATCGGCAGCACGTTTCCTCCGGCGGCAATGTCTCCGATTCGGGACACCGTCGGTTGGTGGGCGGAGTTGGGCGGCGCGCCAAAAACCGGCTTTGCCCGAGCAGCCGTTCCTCAACCTACGCGTTGGCGTGTGTTCGCTCCACACCTTGAACACGCCCAGGCTATGCACGGGGAGCCAAACCAACAAGAGAGACACCCCGTGCACAAATAGTTTGCGGACTGGGCCGTATTTTGCAGGTGCACCTCATATGGCGCCATCCGCCGGTGGATTGGATGGTGTGCGCCATATACTTTCGCAACTCCCGGTACCGCTTGTATATGCCCATGACGCCGTTTCACTCGTCGGCGTTCTCAATTTTCGCATGGAAAGGTTCCACCGGACCCGAGTTGACGCTCGCTTCCTTTCCAGCCCGCCGCGCACAAACTTTGGCCCGGCGCAAAGACGTTTTGCGTCTTTGCCATGAAAAGTCAGCCAAAGGCGAGCGCGCGACCCAAGGCCGGACCGCGCGGCCACGAGCGCGCGTCTCTCTGCGGTCGCCGCAACAATGCGCGGGAAATTTCAGGGATCTGGCCGACCAGATGGCAGCAGAAAGAAGGAAAAAAAAAGCCACGCCGCCATCATGTGACTTCGGAGAAGTGACTGCAATGATGGCGGCGGTGGCGGTGGCGTGTTTTGAAGGCCTTTTCCATTTGGCGCTCCCTCGGCTAATTATCTGCAGCTTTCCGACGGAAAGCGCGACGCGCTATTTACTCAACAGACATGAGACGATGTGGAAAGTCTCTTTAGAAGCGGCGCCTGCTCGGCGGAGAAAAGAAAAGTGGATTCCGGGCGCACGCTTCCGTTTGGAGGATTTACGGCTGCTAACCATGCAGACGGGGACAGAGAGAAATCGCCCATCACATCGGAGGATGCGCACACAGCGACTTTCCAGGCAGGATTTTCATCCGTCTTTGCGGTCCGTTGCTCCCCCCCTAAGAAAAATGAGGGGGGGGGGGAGGGGGGATTCCACACGGGCTGGCTGGCCGCGGTTCCTAAACCAACTGGGGGGGTCTCTTGGGAATTCCCAGAATTGCGAGCGGAGCGTCGGCGCAACTTTGGGACGACTTCATTCCACTCGTTGCGCTTCCTGTCATGTCATTTCAAGATGTCGATCGCATATTTGTGAGTGCAATATCCAAGGAATGTGGTCACGTATGAGAGAACAATATTGCGAATATGATCCTTTTTTTTTGAATGAATGAATGAATCCAACGTACGGTGGATAGCAGACGGCGTAACTCACAATAGGGTGAGGACGGTCATTCTGGACGTCACAGCGTGTCCGACCGCAACCATCGGTGGCCTCATTGTGGCTGCGCAATGAAGAAAAAAGAGAGGGGGAGTCGCCTCCGCCACGGTATCGTGGGCTGGGCGCCCGCGAAAGAAAGAAGGCGCGGCGCGACGACCGACATCTGGGCCGGTGTCATCCCCGCCGGCCGCCGCGCTGTTTGCTTAGCTTGGCGCTTGGCACGGCGCGCGTTTGTTTGACGGGCAAACACGAGATGCCGCGCGGCCGTTTGGCTTTGCGCGCTGCCGGCAGAACGCGCCGCGCCGCGTCAACGAGCGAGGAATGAGACTTTCGCGGGTCGCGAGAGCCGAGATGCGCGCAATTCCCACGGTTGTCAACCGTCTGTCTCTTACTTATAATTCAACTTGCTGCTTCTTTTATCTCAGACAGGTGTCTTTTTTTTTTCTTCTTTTGATGTCGGACATGTTCGGCGGAGGTTTTTCGCCTTCTTCATGACGGTGCGGGTGATCCGTCTTTATCAGCTTCCTCCGAAATCTTTCAGGCAAATAACAACAGAAATTGTCTGAGATAAAAGAAGCAACGAGTTCAATCCTAATTGTGGCACGGGACCTCGAAGTTGGCATGGATTCAGGTCGGGTGTGGCATGAGAAGCGAACCCGGCAGTCCGCATCCTTCCCATACGCGCTCGCAGGCAAGGAGATCCTTCCAAATGCTTATTTGGAAGCGATGGCTGCAAATGGCACCGAGACAAAAGAAAACCGTGTCAAAGTATCACTTACGCCGGCAGGCCGAGGCGCTAACGGCGAGCGTGAGGGCAGTCTCCGGCCTCGCTCGGATGTCAAAGCGACGGAAGGCGCCGCAGCGTTCACAAACCATCCCGATCAAGTCTTTACGCCAACAAAAGTGGCTGAAAACGCCATCGCCCAGCTAGCGTCTGGTGGTAGTTGCTCGCCCATTGGACGAGAATGCGCCGGCTCGGTCACAGATGCTCCAAATTCAGGGCTTTTTTTTTCATCAAAAGTTCAACGGCAGCGCTTCCGATCAAGCAGTTGAACCAAAACCGGTGGCAATCAACCAAAACAAGACATGGCAATGGACTCAAATAAAAGAGTCCAAAACATCATCAAGCGTCCGTCCCCGCCCACGCCGAAGGTTGTTCAACAGCGGCTCTCGGTCAGAGTCACGTCAGGCAACGAAACAACAAACGGCGGAATTGGAAAAGCGACCAAAGCACTTTGCACTTTTTGGGGGAAAACAAAAAAATGGCAGCCACTATTGTAGTTGGAATTGATTGGCCGTCCTGCTCTTTTGTCTTGTAATTGAGGACTGCAAGCGTTTGTATTGTTCCTCTCGCGACCGCTTTGCTTTTTATTTCTGTCATTGCGATCTTCGGCGGCGATGCGTCTCACTGTGCTCGTTTAGAAAGCGGCCTCGGGACCAAGGCTGAAAACGAGCATTGATGCTAAGTCCGCTGCATTTCAATTGAATGCAATTTTATCGTACGCTTTATTCTCGTGTCGATTAATGTGCGCCGCTCCCAACGAAATAAATCATTGGGGCGGCGCGGGTGCGCGCGCGACGGGAACCTGCCGCCTTTGCGGCTGACTGAAGCCCTTGAAGGAGCCGACCCGCGCGGAGTGTCTTTTGGAAGCAATTGCGACGTTTTGGAGCGAGTGCAATTCGGACAGGCCATGAATACAAGCGCGATTCCCTCCAGAAAATAACTTGACTTCATACTTGCAACAACGAAGCTCTGAGTTCGAGGCGGAAGACGGTTTTGCCAGACAGGGGCCCCGAAAGCGTTGGTTGAACTTTACGAGAAAGAGAAAAATCAGTCAATCAATGTCGCTCTCACTAAATGGGCATTCGAGAGAGCGTTGGAGAGCAATCTCTCCAGGCCCGGCCGGATGCGCGCTCCCCATTTGACTCGGGCGATAACGGGCATCAAAGCGCGCGATGCAATCGGCCCGGCTTTGCGCCGACAATCTCCTTTTTCATCCCGAGCGGCCGTTCCGGAGAAGAGATGGCCCCGATTGCGCCGCGTTTCCATCCGAAGCACTGCGGCATTTGCGATGCGCCCATCTGAGGAGTCGTGCGACAAGGCGAGTCGGGACGGAACGCTCGGCGGCCGCGTCGTGCTCAAGCCAACAACCGCACGCGCAATCTCTTTGGAGCAAAGGAATCGTTTAGGGTGCCATTTTCACAGCCGAAGCTTCTGGAAGGTTCTGCATTTCGGGGCGGGGGGGGCGGCCGACGCCTCCGACAAAATGTTTTTCAGCTCAATCGTGCAAAGACGACTTTCACGGAAGATCAAGCGATTAGCAGGCAGTCGCATCATTTTTGCCGCGAGAGGTGGACGCCTCCTACCTGGCGCGCCGCGGGACGGGCCCCGCCGCACGGCCGACCTGCGGTAGACCACGTGGACTCGGCCCCGCTCCTCCAGCTCCCGGGCGCCCCTCTCCAGAGGTTCGATGAAATACTCCTCCGCGTCCGTCCGGATCATGCCGGCCTGCGGAGCACAATGACTCGGTGAGCGACGAGGAAGCCGTGAAAAGCGTCGCCGCTCGCCATCCTTGTCAAAGTCAAATGAACCATCGACAACGTGTCTTCCCCCACCAAAAATAATCATCAAATGCACGCGAGATAAAATAGCCTCCACTGTTCATCATCACAGATGATCAGTTCACATTTCCTCCACTGTCAAAACGTCCAATGAGCGTCCCCCCCCCGTGGCGCTTTGTTTTCGGCGACCGCCGCAGAAGCCCGCTTTCGCTCGCGACCCAAAAATAAGAGCATCCGGAAGTGACGAGCCAATTGGATTTGTGCCGCCATCGGCAGGCGCCGGCAGATTCGAGAGAATTGGGCTTGGGAAGCCGCAACGAGACGCGGCGGCTTTCACTTTCTAAAGTTTTGCGCCGAGCTTGCAAATGATCTTCCACTTTTTGCTTGATCTCGACTCGTCTTTCTGATGATCAAGCAAATGGTGTCCCGCAAGTATGAGACTTTTTTTTCGTGCGTCCGCCCGTGATGGACGCGCCCAGCGAATCCCGCGCCGATCGGCGAAACCTCCTTTGGGGGCCGGACTTTCAAATACAGAAGGTGGCGCCGGGCCAAAATGTCCGCTGCCGCCGCCGCCTGGCAATTCTCGCCCGGCATCCTTGTCAAAGTCAAATGAACCATCGACAACGTGTCTTCCCCCACCACAAATAATCATCAAATGCACGCGAGATAAAATAGCCTCCACTGTTCATCATCACAGATGATCAGTTCACATCGTCGCAGCGAGCGGCCGGCGGCATTGAAGCGGGCAAAGTGTTAGCGGCTTGGTGCGAGTGCTTTCAAAGGTTGTTAACGTGGCCAGCCAGATCGCAATTTACGCGGCGGCTTTCACTTTCCAAAGTTTTGCGCCGAGCTTGCAAACGATCTTCCACTTTTTGCTTGGTCTCGACTCTTTCTGATGATCAAGCAAATGGTGTCCCGCAAGTATGAGACTTTTTTTCGTGCGTCCGCCCGTGATGGACGCGCCCAGCGAATCCCGCGCCGATCGGCGAAACCTCCTTTGGGGGCCGGACTTTCAAATACAGAACGTCTGCTGCCGCCGCTTGGCAATTCTCGCCCGGAAGCTTTTTCGGGGAGCCCGACGTGGCCCAAAACGGAAGCGCTTTGCCTCAAGACGCGGCCGGTGGACGCTCAAGTCAGCTCTCCCATGCACGTATGGCTTGTCGACGTGACCGTTTGCCGGCCCGCGTTTGTTTTCCTCGGCTATTTTGGGAAACGCACCCGAGGGAGGTTTCGCACTCTGGAGAGGAGAAGAAGAAGAAGAAAAAAAAAAAAGGGAGATGCGCGGCGCGCTCCTGCGAGGCGGCGGCTGAAAATGGCAGCTCGCGATGACGAAGGCCGGCTTGCGTTTGTGCCAAGCAAACACACCTTTGAACACGACCGCGGGTGAAAGGTGCCACTGTCCCGCCTGGTCGCGGGCCCTCCGAGAGCTTTTTTGCACTGAAAGGGGCCGTTTGGCACAAACTGCAGCCCTCGGGCTGAATGCCGCCTGTTGTTCTTGGCGGGGCGGCGCTGTCTGCTTGGCCCGGCCCGAGAAGCCGCGGCGAGGAAAGTCACGGAACACAGGAGGCTTCATCCTTTTTTTTTTTTGCTGCTTGGGGCCCAGCAAGTCTCTCCGTTAAACACCTGCCGTTGCCTGTCCCCGTAGCGCAGCGGCGTCCGAAGCGGGTCCTCGGGGGGGGGCGCCGTCCTGCCCGTTTTCGAACTCTCCCGGGAGATTCAACTCATCGGGATGCTTCGAACGCCGCCTGAGGAGCCGCTCATCTGAGGAGCCGCTCGCCTGACTCGGGCGCGTTGCGGCCGGGAGAGCCGCAAAAGAGGCGGGCCCGGACTCGGACCCGAACACGCCTGCCGTAGCGGGTGAGAGAACCGGCCAAACAAGCACCTGAACTGAAATTGACATTGCCATGTCGCGGAAGGCCTCGTTCTCCCATGGCCAACTACCTTTATGTCCCATTGATCCGACTCATCTGAAAATGGATCGAGATTTGATGATGGTTTCCTCTTCATTCTTCCTCTCAAAGGTCGGGAGGCAAGTGACGAGCTCTTCTACGAATGGAGTTGCTTGTGCGTTAGCAAGGTGACCGAGGGAGTCGGTTCCTTCGTTGGCTAGCTAGCTAGCTAGCTGGTTTCTTTGTGAGCTCATCTTTTCTTCACGGGCTAGGTCGGTTATTTGTTTGTTTCGCCGTTAGCTGTTTCACGGGATCAGTTATTTGTTTGTTTCGCCGTTAGCCGTTTCACAGGTCGGGAGGTGACCGCGGTCTTCTGTTTGTCGGGAGCCGGTTCGTCCATTTGCGCCTCGGCCGCTTTGCTAGCCGGGCGGTCCGTCCGTCGCTCGGGCGATCGGCCCGGCAGTTGCGAAGCTCTTTTGTCCGTTTGTTTGTTTGTGTGTGAAGGAAGGAGAAGGAGGCCGTTCGATCGTTTGCCGTCGTTCTTTCGGCGGTTTGTTGACTCGCCGGCGAGTTTGTTTGTCGGTTTCGCGTTTCAGTTTGTTTGCGATCGACGTGTCCGCGCAATCGTCGGTGCGTTCGCAACGTGACTTGTTTGCCGCCCGTTTGAAGCTTGGCCACATTTTCAGAACAAACGCGGGGAGAAGTCGGAAACCGCCATCGCTCCAGACTTCGGCAAACAACGCGCTTGATTTTGCGGCGCGGCAAAGTCTCGCCGCTCACGAGTCGGCTCACACTGAAGGGCGATCCAAGAAAAGCGGCTGTTGAGAAACGCGGCCGGACGACTCAGCGGACACCGCGACAAGAGAAGGCGGTGCGGGTGTGCGCCGGTTTACGCGAGGGGGGCCGCAGACGTGAACTCTGAGGAGGACGGGAAGGCCGAAGCGTTCCGCCCACTTGAAGAAGACACGCCAGCTCGGCCGCATTCCTGACTTGTTTGCTCTTATCATTTTTTTTCCTTCACTTTTCCAGCCATGTGCGGCCTACTCCGGCCATGTGAGCCGCAAAAGAAGAAGTACGAGCAGAAGATGGAAAACGTGCTCAAACACACAAAAGTTGTTTTTGACTCGGGTAATCAAGTATCGCAGCAAATGAGGGGGCGCGATTCTACACAAGTAGAGAGGAACAAAAAAAAGCTTTTGAAGGGTGACTTTTGGGGAGGGGCTGAGGGCTGCGTGTTATTCGCGGGACTTGACGGGAAATCTAAAGCAATTTCCCCACTGAACTAGTTTTGGGTACAGCCAGAGTCTGACAGCTGATTTTTCATTTCATTCCAGGCTGTCCTTTTTGCGGGGCGGGGGGGCCTTTTGCTTTCACCGGCGCTTTGACTCAAGTATGGCGCGAGCCTGTCAAAAAGAGCGGCCGCGCTCACACGGTGGCAACCGCGAGAGCAGGCGTGCCATCTGTTTGCGCGCTCACCTTCCAAAGCGTTTTTCTTGCGCCCGAGTCACCAAAAGTGTCGCTTTTGCGCTTCATTTGCGAGGCCGCCGCGCGCTTGGCGGGGAAATGGCGGCGATGCCCGTCTTGTGCCCGAGTCACCAAAAGTGTCGGAGGCCTCGACGCCAAAACTCACCACAGCCGCTTTTGCGCTTCATTTGCAAGGCCGCTGCGCGCTTGGCGGGGAAATGGCAGCGATGCCCGCCGCGCCTCATCGTTGGCGCGCCGAACTTTTGGGGCCCCAAAAATGGCGGCGGCCGTCACCGAACGACACGCCCACAGGCCCTGCGTGACCTCTGACCCACGAAAGCAAAGAGTTCAGCACTCGACACGTTGCGAATTCCGATTCCAGTGCAGGCACTTGACAGCCAGCCCGCCCACGGCCCCCCACCCTGCCGAGACACACACACACACACACACACACACACACACACACACACACACACACACACACACAGTCTACCGCGATGTGAGTGAGGCGGCAGACGCAGCAACGCCGGCGGCAAATAACCAAAGTGGTCGGAAAAGCGGCGCTGCGTCCCGCCAGGCTCTCATAAAGCGTGTTCGTTCTCCACAGGCCGTCGTTTGCAAGCAGCAAACCGTGGCATCTTGCGCGCAGCCCCGGCCCGCTTCACCCCCGCTCGCCCGGCACCTCCCGGCGATTGACTACGTCCTCCGACCCGCTTCAAAGAAAATTGCGCTTTCGGCTACTCGGCCCCACTCACATTTTGCTCCAGGACGCCTTGCTCCGGCGTACGGTTGGTTACGTGACGCCAAAAGTTGCCTTCCGCGGCGCACACGTTGGAGATGCGCCGGGAGAGCCGAGCGGCCGCGCGACACAGCCCGGCTTTATTTGCGCCTCAGAGGAGCTCTCGAGCTCGGATGAGACGTCGTTTATTCGAGGCCATTGAGGCCACGGACGGAAGTGGGCAAGTCGCACGGCGAATGGCGGAGAGGGATTCCAAACACCATTTCGTTGGCGCGAAAGAAGCGCGAAGAAGGCCACCGGAGGGCAAACGCGGCGAATGGGACCGGACGAAGTTCGGGCGGCGGGGAAGGCGCGGGGCCAATTTCACGGCCGCTTTCAAAAGGCAGGAAGAGGCCGATTTTCTATTTTGGGCCAGGCTCTCGGCCGGAGCGGCGCCTCGGGCTTTCCCGCCGGCTCGGCAAACATCCTCGCACGGCAGATCGGCGCATCCCGACGGCGGCTCGGGATCGAAACCGAAGCGCCGTCCGTCCGTCCGCAGCGGCGCGACCTCGACCGACGAGTGCTTCGCGCGGGAGCCTTTCGGAGCGTGGAGCCACGGCTTCGTCGGGCTACCGCCTTTGCGGCCAAGCGAGCTCATCAAAGAGCGGCGCCGCAAGCCGAAGCCTTCTTTCTTTGCAAGAACGCGGTCCTCGCGCCCGCCGCCCGTCTCCGTGCGCTTTGGGGCTTCGTCCCGCGTCCGCGCAATAAGAACGAAGCCCACGCGTTCATCCGCTGGCATCTCCCGGGGCCGCCGTTTTGGCCTTCCCCGCTATCGGCCGACATCGCCTTCGGGTTCGCGTTGCCGCGGTGAGCCGTGGTGCTTGTTGCGCAGTTTCCAAGACAAGTTTGCAAAGGTAAAGCACCGACTCGGTCATTTGGAAACACGCAAGCGGCTGCTTTCGACTTCATTTCCAAATGATCAACAGTGGGCCATTTTGTTGGCGGTCGGGGTCGGGGTCGGGTCGCGGAGGGAGCAACTTCCGCTTTTGGAAGCCCACACTTGCCTCTCTTCCTCCAGCTCTTCCTGGGGGAATCCCGAGGCGCTCCCGGGCCAGGCGGGGGGGACAAATGGTCTCTCTGGCGGGTCATAGGCCCAGAACACCTCACCGGCTCGGGCATCCTCAGCGGACCGCCAGTACCGCTGAATGGGCACACCCTCCACATGCCCCCCCCCCCCCCCCGCCCCACAG